TGAGAATGTAACGGGGTTATGTAATCAGTCCGGATTTCTTCTGATCGATTTTGAATGATCCTTGACAATAGTTCTGTCGATTTGATGGGCATGATCGAAGGCAACTGATCGATCAACTCTCTTGACTGTATTAAAGGTGTTTGACAGTTTTGACTCACTCCACATCATCTGAATGAATGACTAATGCACTCTTAAGTCAACAACATCGGTAATATGGCAGCTGTCGGTGTTATTTTCACAAAGCATGATCAAAATGTTTCCTGCATTATACGAAAACAATGCCAGTTGTCTCAATCAATCAAACGGATCAATTCAAGCATATAAACCTGTCACTTGATCAGAAATATTCGTAGGAAGAACCTCGAAGTGCGGTTTTTTGCCCTATGAAGGCATCATTTGAAGAGAGCACATATTTTATGTGTAAATGTGCATATTGCTGGATCTAGATGCAGGATGAATTCGTGCAATATGGATAAACTGGAATATATAAATCCAATATGTGAATTCTAATTAGTGCGATTGCAACGTCTTATTCTCGAAAAAGCTTCGGAACGCTCTCGGATATGCATCATTATTAGTTTTGTTTATAATTCAAGACTAATATCTTTGAGAGATAAACCCATGTGTCGAATACTGATCATTAATGCAGACATTTGGGTATGAAATTCATTTAGTCTATTTGTAGAACAAAATGAGGATGCGATGAATTTTCAAGAGCGAAAGAGCTAATTACCCTTATTCAGGATAATGAAAGGAAAAAATCCTGATGCCCAAAATTAAAAAAAAACTGATCCTTTAGACGTCACGAAAGAGTTGATTTTATCGAATTACCAAGCAATCTGACGATAAGGCAAAGTTGAACTCGCTACCAATGGCAACCCATTGAAATAATTAGCAAATTCAAAACTATTAGACTGAAGAAAAAACTTTTCAAATGCTGTCAAGTTTCATATGTCATTCACTCAAGTTCTTTTCCATGCTGTCAAGGTAAACTTGACAATCTGTTGTTGAAAAGTTTTCAGTTGAATACCTAAGTCAACATTACTTTAGCATTAAATGTCACTCAACTTTGTATTTCGTTTTTCATATACCTCTCATTAGGATTTGCGTCGAAGTTTAGTTTCCTCACTGAATGCAACAATACAAAGCTCAGCAGGGATTATCACCTGTCATCCATAGCAATGAGCTGTTTTGATGATTCGTCGTGACTTCAAAGACACAATTAATTCATTTCAGATATTTGAAGCAGAACCCAGACAATAAAGCGAAGTATCCGAAGATGAAAAATGTGAACGTTGATACTGTGGATGTTGCCACAAGTGATCCGGGATTTGAGGCTGTTGCTGCAGCCTATTTGAAAGTAGGTTTTGTGATCATGAGATCAGATCTTACGAATACTTTTACTCGACCAGATATTTGCACCCTTTTTAAAGTTCACAATGAATCGGGCTGAAGAACAGTGCATATTCACTTTGAGTTTTTTCAACACGTAACTCTTTTAATTTGATAAAACGAGTTCTTTCTATTCTTTTCGACTTTCTTTCAGCTCCTTTTAAGTCCTTCAATAGAGTGCTATACTAAGTTTTTCTCAGTAGGTTGGTTTTTGCATTGAAAAATTGTTCCACCTTCATTACTGATGATTAAAAACGAATGACAATTTTCCCCTCTCATTTGTCCCACTCATTATTTCTCTTTTTTTCTTCTTTATTTGAACAAAATCGGAAGAGTTGATACTCAAGGAGCTTGCGTTTTTTGAGGTATTCGATGATGTTATAACGGCTGTTGAAGAGAAACCGGCCGACGTGTCAGACGCATGTTCGAGGCTGAATTCAGTGGGTAAAATGCATCGAAGCAAGGTGAGTGAGTGCGCTGAGTCCTCGTTCGGCATTTATCGTAGTAGATGTATGCAAGATGCCCTTTCAATGAAAAACATTTCATTTCGTACAAATGAGAGAAGACATCATCCTGCGTAATGCACATCAATTTGCTCGTTCGAGACACTTTCGAAACGAAAACACTGAAATAATGAATGGTTCATGCGGGAACGATTCATTTCGTCCTACAATTCAATTCTGTTTATTCAGTTTATCCTCAGGAGAGCTATCTTACGTCGTTATGACGAAGTGTAAATATTCAGCTGCTGAAAAAACGAATGCCCCTCACTTCAATTTAAAACCATCCAATTCTCAATTAGTTTTAGCAATGCTCACAATGTGCTTACTTTTACGATGCCCTTGAGGGTTAAGAAACATGTGTGCAGATTCTCAAAAACTCTCGAATATGCACAGTGACGCATGCAGTCTCGAATTTTTCCATGAATTGAGATGACGGCACTTGAAGTGCGCTTTGAAATTAATCAGTCGATGACGAGTACAAAGAGTATCATCGAAATTACGTTTATATAAATACTTGAAAACATATCAACTCTTTTGCGCTATCGATCCAGCTATATTAATGTATTGATCAGCTGAGTAGGTTGAAGTTCAATCTTGATTCAATTCGGTGCAAATTCTCATTAAAACTGTGCATTCATCAGCTTTGTTGATGACTTTAATGAAATAAGTCTCCTGATAGAACACTGGTAACCTGATGAAATAGTAATTGAATGAAGCATTGTCAAATTTATGTTTTCTCTTGGCGTCGACTCAGCCAAGTACATTTGGGATATTAGCATTTTCATGAGGTTTCAGACGTTCTGAAATGAATAATAGCATAGAGGATGCTTGAAGTTTGGTTTATCGTTTGCTTTATCATAATCAATATGAGCCTCACATGTTCGCAGGAGAAGGAGCATCAGGCTAAGAATGCACTTTTGAGAAAGAAGTATTTTTGAAATTTACGTTTCACTCTCACGCATCTACCGATTCGCACTTTATCGGGAACATTTTGCTATGGAAAACGAACAAACTGAAATAATGATTTGGAAATATTTCGCTTAAAATTTTAAAAGCAAAAAATTAGCTGACCGTATCACGCTCTTCACATTGTGCATTTTGTTGGTGTGCGATTCTGCTGACGTGAATATTTCCATTGAAGCAAAACGGTTTGAATGTGTTCTAAAATCAAAATGAACCAGTTTTCAAACGCTTTTCATGTGTTTTTTTTGGTTGTGAGACGTGAAAATATGGGAAAACAACAACAGACCTTTAAAAATTTGCATCAGTTTAGAACATATTATAAATATTATGGTAATTCACGTCAGCAAAAGATCAATCGGCAATTCATAGCGATCGAATTTTCGCAAACGACGAAAGAATCAATGAAACTGTTTTCCGCTACATTAATTGCTCAGCTGGCACCAAAACGTACCAATATAAGATACCGTTGAATTTGTTCAAGCGTGTTGCATTCCATGCTTTCATGATGTCCCTTTTCTTTTAGATTACGCCAAATTAACTGGCTGTCATAGTTCATCGCTTAGATTCTCCCCTAAAACGCATAATTTTTCATGCGAATGCATTTGCGTTCACGCTCTCTGAAACATCTCAGAGCCAATTTTGAGTGTAATACCTGAAAGTGTTCGAGTTTCAGAGAGAGCAAACCAAACGGAGCTGATTGTTGCCTTGAAATAAACTCTGCACATTATAAGCACTTGACTAAACTAAAGGATGCAACTTCTTTTCTTGCTAATTTTAAGAATGTCAGTAATGTTGAAAGATCTCATGAGTGCGAATGTAATGAAGTGGAAAAAGCTGCCGAACGCAATCATTTGTATTAGTAGATTCAGAACGACCGATAGATACTGTGTAATGATACACTGCATTATAGCTGCGCATAATTTTCAAGAACGTTTTTCAGGCGATTGCATGACTTGTTCGTGCTTCTTTTTTGGTATTAATAATTCACTCAGAA